TGACCTTAAGGGCAAGGGAAAGTGACACCATCTTGTTGCATAGTAGTCTCAACAACAAGGTTGAAGATATTATTTCCCAACACAGAATAGTGGCCCTTGGATACAAATGTCCAAAATAAACTCTATTACTCACAATACACTATTCCACAGTCAATACCCCTTTAATTCGTACATCCGCATGTTATCACGTAAACGAAAATTTCAGTTTCATCACTTTCTTGGCCAATCGCGGTTACACCTACAGACAAAACTTGGGGACAGCTATTAGTAGTCAAGTCTTAGATTTTCGAGTTGCTTTCCTATTTTTTTGTAGTGTGAGATTCCCACATCTTGCAACCACGGGGTTTGGATCCGCCATTGTATCGATATGCAAAGGTTTCATTTACATCACCATACATACAATTTGTCGTATTCCCTTTAGTAATAACACATTTCGCCGTTATATAAATGTAAACAATGTTTCATAGGTACCTTTGTGTCCGAATATCTGGTATGTCCTTGACTTTATGCTAATATCAATGAGCAAAGTGTTAATTTTAAATACAAATTTTTAATTTAAACAACTGCGGAATATGATTAATTCATATCAAAATACAAATGAGGTGTCATTTACGGGATTTGATAATATTAAAAAAATAAGTCATGCATAAACTCATTGATGCGAGCAACACTTCCTTTGAGCGGTAATTCGACACAGAAAGGTAAATAAAAATGCAGTAAATACTTTATCCTTACATCAGGTTGTAAATCGTAATATCATAGACTACTGTGCTTCATTTGCAAGAAGTGTCACATCTTTTAATATCAACATTATTCATATAGAGCGTTTTGTAAATTGATGAAAACAGAACTGTCAAAATCTAAGCTATCAGTAGCATGGCTGCCGTTGTCAAGTGTTGGTAAATGTTAGCAAAAAGGTTTGTTTCTAAATTTTGGATAGATTATTATTCATTAATGTTAGAATAATAATCATGATGAGGGTCTGATATAGAATTTGTTACCTAGATATAATTTTTGTGGGGCAAATTCATTTCTATGGAGTACCATTTGAAACACATCATATTTTCCAATCAATCATTCAGCTGGACCTTTTCACATTCAATAGTGGACTATTATTGTACAATCTAAGATTAAACAATGTGTTGAGTGTGAATAAATATTGAATAAAATATATGACAAATTATTTTACTGTAAAACTTAGTAAAAATGCATTCTTTAATTGTCAGTGCATCTTTATGCTTCCTGGCACAAAGTTTCAAGAGGTGAATTAAGAAGTAATACAAATGATAACACGTGTATTCATTATTAAAAAGATAGGTTGCCAGACAACGAAACATACGCCCACAGCAACTAAATCGTCCGGGCAGTCAACAAGGGTTGTCGCATATTTTTTTACTTTTTTTGGTAATGAAACATTTATAATACACTAAAATCTGATTAAGAGCAACAACTCACGAAGTAATTATCAGAAAACTATTAGAATTTGTTTGGTTTTTATAAAGTTCTGCCCCATGCTAACGTTTTGTATGCAAAGCTTTTAATATCATGAATTTAACTGTTTAAGTCATAAAAATTCATTGAAAATCAATATACTTGTTCGTCTCAAGATCTTAAACTCTGTGTATCAATCTGAAGTCAATCGGATTATAACTTTAGCCTTTAGAGCATCACAAGATTTTGCAAAGTGATCAAGGGCCATAACTTTGGCAGTAATTATCAGAAATCGTTGAAAATCAATAGGAATCTTCGTCTCATGACCTCAAACACTGTGTATAAATTGAAAGTCAATCGGATATTAACTTTGGCCTCTAGAGCGTCCACAAGATTTTTCAAAGTGATCAAGGGCAAAAACTCTGGCAGCAAATATTGGAAATCGCTGAAAATCAATAGGCTTCTTCGTCTCATGACCTTAAACACTGTGTATAAATTTAAAGTCAATCGAATATTAACTTTCGCTTCTAGAGCATCCACAAGATTTTTTGAAGTGATCAAGGGCCATAACTCTGGCAGTAATTATCAGAAATCGCTGAAAACCAATAGGCTTCATCATCTTATGACCTTAAACACTGTGTATAAATTTAATGTCAATCGGATGTTAACTTTAGCCTCTAGAGCATCCACAAGATTTTTTGAAGTGATCAAGGGCCTGACTCTGGCAGTAATTATCGGAAATCGCTGAAAATCAATAGGCTTCTTTGTTTCATGACCTTAAACACTGTGTATAAATTTAAAGTCAATAAGATATTAAGGTCAATTGGATATTAACTTTGGCCTCTAGAGCGTCCACAAGATTTTTCAAAGTGATCAAGGGCCTGACTCTGGCAGTAATTATCGGAAATCGCTGAAAATCAATAGGCTTCTTTGTTTCATGACCTTAAACACTGTGTATAAATTTAAAGTCAATCAGATATTAACTTTAGCCTCTAGAGCGCTCACAAGCAATTGTGGACGCCGGACGGACGGGGGCGACAACAATATACGACCACATTTCAATATGGGCGTATAAAAATTGCTGAAAACAAAAAGCAGTTTCAAGGAAATTTTGATGCAGTATTTACAATATTCCATACAGACACAAAACATTTAAACCAAGGGATGTTTATGATGGTACTCCATACAAAAAGTCTGAAAGTAGTCCCTTGAAAAAAATGGAGGATATTTGAAAAATTGTAAGTTTAATTATATGGACGTGGTGTGCTCAAACAAAGATAGTTTTCAAAATTTGAAGTCTTGATGGTTGTAGTGTATATATTCAGGTATCTCTGTGAGACTTTGTGATTTCCCATGTTGAGTTGTTTACCCTGTAGCTGCACAGTGCTGAATAGTATATTTGCTTCATATTTTCCAAAGTTACAAATTCCAAAGTCATTATTTTTGATTTTCATATATTTTTTATTGTTCAGTATCATCTCAGGCACGTTCAGACACCAAAATAAAGCCACTTAAGGTGTTGTGAATGATTTTTTGAGGACCCCCAATTTCAGGTGCTGTGACAATTTTTGTTACTTTACCTTGCCCTTAAACACTGTGTATAAGATTAAAGTCATTCAGATATTAACTTTAGCCTCAAGAGCTTCTACAATATTTTCAAAGAGGTCAAAGGCTATAACTCTGGCAGTAATTATTGAAAATATTTGAAAATCAATAGGTTTCTTCGCCTCATGACCATAAACAGTGCATACAAATTCAAAGTCAATTGAATATCAACTTTTGCCTCTAGAGCGTCCACAAGATTTTTCGACCACAGACCACACTTCCAAGTGAGCATATAAAAAGCAAAATCTTGATACACTTCATAATATCACTGACATAATCAAGGGAAATATAATATCAGTATTTATGAGAAATAATAATAATTGTTATTCATTAAAATAATTGAAACAAAGAACATAAATTTAAAGTCTAGATTAGTTGATAAATTTAGCTGTTAAAGCATTGATAAAATTGTACGAGTAAGCAAGGGCCATTAACTCTAGAAGTAAATAACATAAAATTCTGAACTTCGATAGGGTTCTTCCTTTCATTAAAAATCAATAATGCATATCAATTGCAAGTTTATCCGAACATGGGCCTAACTATGGAAGTAATTAAGGAAATCAACAAAATCGTCTAGGCTGACTTGTTTCACTAATCTGGACAAAACATAAATTCTAATCATACTGGATAGTAACTTTGAAACAAGAGAATGTACACAAGAAATTGTGGACGGATGACAGTGACAACAATATACGTCCTTATTAAATGGTCTCGTATAAAAATGCTACAGTACATTGGATCGTTAAAAATCTAAATAAAAATAAAAGTTGTAAAATGGTATAACTAAGATTAGAAATTAACAATATGAATCGATTTAAATGCCTGTACATCCAATAACATAAATAGAATATTCACTGATCAGGGAAAAAGATACAATTTTTTTTTTCGTATATTTTACCTTTAGTACTGTATATTTTACCTTTAGTACCGTTAAACATGTAAAATTTTGAATATAAATAACTGAATACGGTAGGAATAACAACAATGCATTTCCTAAAGTAAACGAGACAACAGTGAGGCTGATGTTCCCCGCCGAAATCCTGACATAAATAGGTGACACATTAATTAATTGCACATTTTTCTTTTTCTAAAGTATCAAACTCATTATCAACTATACACTAAGTTTCATACCAAAGGATTGACCAATGAAATTGCTTAGCTCTGCTTAGCTTTAGCAGGAAATGTTAAATCATTGAACTCAGCCAAGACATTCACCTACATCAAGTTTAAAAATTCCACCTCAATTAAAAGCAGATTTTTTATGTTCTAAAGTCTTGACTAATGAAATTGCTTATCGCTCCTTAGCCTAAGCAGAAAATTCTCATCATCGAAATTCGTCATGGTAATGATATAATGAATCTATACCCAGAGTTTCATCGCTCTCACCTAATTATAACCAAAGTTATCGTGCCCCAAAGCATCAATCAATCAAATTGCTTATCTCTGCTTACACTAAGCAGACAATGTTCATCATCGAACTCCATCAAGGCATTCACCTAATGAACACCTAACACAAAGTTTGAACATTCTACCGTATTAGAAGGAGAGTTATTGTGTTTTATAAGTCTCGACCAATGGAATTGCTTATCACTCTGCTTACCCTCAGCAGAAAATGTTCATTATCGAATTAATCAAGGTATTGATGTGATGGAACTATACATAAAGTTTCATCACTCTCACTTAATTAGAACTAACATTATCGTTTCCCAAAGCATCAACCAATCAAATTGCTTATCTTTGCTTACCCTAAGCAGAAAATGTTCATCTTCGGACTCCATCAAGGCATTGACCTAATTAACACCTACACCAAATTTGAACATTCTACCTCAATTAGAAGGAGAATTATTGTGTCCCAAAAAGTGTGACAGACAGATGGACAAACAGACAGACCCATTTTAATAGTTCCCTGCTTTCTACGAAAGGCGGAGGACAAAAAAAGAACTGCAGAAAATAAACAGAATAGATAAACTAGATACATTTATATATAAACAATTCATCTTCTGGTATTACTAAGGTGTTTTTCACATATTCTGAAAGCTAATATAATGTACAATATGATCTATTTGGGAAATTTAACACCAAAAACCTCTGTTACTCTTCTTTCAAATGTCTTTTCCCCCTAGCCATTGTATATAACATATAATATATGCAAATATAAAATCTCTAACATAAATAATCTTTACCATCACAATACTGCATCAATTTCTAAAAATGTGACTTCCTTTCCCAATACTCTATATGTCATCAATCCTAAAATATGTAGATACCTAAAGACTAGTCCTATTAAAAGGACCATGCACAATCCTTGCACAATCCTGAGTATTGTGTGCCATATAAATTCGAATGTGGGCTGGATGGTATAATAATTAACAAAGGCAAAGGGCCATTTCTTTCTCTCATTAAAAGGCTGGAATATAACAGTAAGATACCAATGATGATAGCATTATGTATATAATCCAGAAAGTAACTAATATAAAAACTGTTGGTATCTTGAATTTGTTTGGCCCACCGAGCTCACCTCCAACCATTTTGCATCTCCTACATACTAGAATTATTATACAAATTACAGCCAGGACACAGAAGACTGTCACTGAGAAGGCAAGAGTACCTGGATCTACTCTAAATGGCTCGCCTTTAGATGCGTGATATATAGCAGCCATTGTCCATGCGACACCAATACCTAAAAATACATTGACAGCATTGCTTCCAGTCACATTACCAATAGAAGAATCTGCATACTTATCATTGATAGCAGCCACCTTACTAGCAAAAGTATCTGAAAAGATAAAAGAAAGTGATATAGTCAACAAACCACACTTTTAGATCCACAGATAAACAATTTCTGCATTAGCCATCAATGAGTCTTGAAATCGCAAAAAGATCTTTCTCATTCTCTGCCCCTCTCTTAGTCTTATGGAATTCATTGCCTTACAACGCTAGAAGTACCATTAACTCCTTAAATGCATTTAAATCTGAGTTAAAGAGCTTCCTGTTTACAGAAGTATTTCCATAGCTCAATAGAGAAAACTTGAAAAGTGCAATAGAAACTTCTGCTTTAGTAGGTTGAAAAGGTGATTTTGAGATTATATTATATTATAGTACATTTGATTTTATTAGCTATCAAAAATGTATCTGTAAATTCATGTAATACAACTTTAAGGCTAATTATGTTTCAATTTTCACATGATTACTTTGCACACCTCTGGTGAAGTCGCGTCAGGGCAAAAAAAATGTCCACGGCATATTGTTTGCATTTTCATTGAACACATACCCAAGGTTTCTCTGAAGTAAAAAGATAGGTTGCCAGGGAATGAAATATACGCCCACAGCAGCTAAATCGTCCGGGCAGTCAAAAAGAGTTTTCGCATGTTTTTACAGTAATGAAGCATTTATAATACACTAAAATCTGAATGAGAATAACAACTCATTAAGTAATTATCAGAAAATCATTAGAATTTGTTTGGTTTTTATAAAGTTCTGCCCCATGCTAACGTTTATTATACGAAACATTTAATATCATGGATTTAGCTATTCAAGTTATCAAAATTCATTGAAAATCAATATACTTGTTCGTCTCAAGACCTTAAACTCTGTGTATCAATCTGAAGTCAATCGGATGATAATTTGAGCCTCTGGAGCGTCACAAGATTTTTCAAAGTGATCAAGGGCCATAACTTTGGCAGTAGGCTAATTATCCAAAATCGTTGAAAATGAATAGGAATCTTCGTCTCATGACTTCAAACACTGCGTATAAATTTAAAGCCAATCAGATATTAACTTTGACCTCAAGAGCGTCCACAAGATTTTTTGAAGTGATCAAGGGCCATAACTCTGGCAGTAATTATCGAAAATCATTGAAAATCAATAGGATTCTTCGTCTCATGACCTTAAACACTGTGTATAAATTTAAAGTCAATCGGATATTAACTTTGACCTTTAGAGCGTCCACCCAGACTGACAACAATATACGACCCCATTTCAATGTGGGCGTAGAAATTTATTTGACCGTAAACCGTAGTAAATGTCGCTCTAATATCATGAGCGAGTGACACCAACTGCTAAATAATCCCATTTGAAACTAAGCACGCGCTATCGTCTAAAACAATTACCATAACTACTTACATTATTCCAATCGAAATATTCGTCAATATTTCTTAGCGTATTTATTTATTTATTTAACCAGCGGCTGCCAGGCAGGATACACCCACATTTTCGAGAAATGGATAGAGAACAAGCTAACAAGAAAGTGATTTTTCCTACAATCAAGGGCCATAATTCAGGAAATTACAATTCGATATGCGCATATATCGAAAGGAACTGAGATCTTTGTGTTATAAACTTACATTTCAAGTTTCAACAAAATCGGATAAAAATTGTGACCTCTATAGGGTCCACAACCTTGATATACCATATTTTTACGCTATTTGAGAACAAACGGCGGCCATTTTGTTTGTCAATTTTGGGGCGATTTTCACAAAATTCAAACTCAACTGTCCTTAGGGTGGAACGGTAATATAATAATACGGTTTTTTAAATCGGATAAAAATTATGACCTCTAATGGGTCCACAAGCTAAAAACATGATTTTTCGTACAATCAGGGGTCATAATTCAGGAAGTTTCAAATATTGAAAGGAACCGAGATCTTTGGGTTATAAACTTATATTTCAAGTTTCAACAAAATCGGATAAAAATTGTGACCTCTATAGGGTCTACAACCTTGATATACCATATTTTTACGCTATTTGAGAATGAACGGCGGCCATTTCGTCTGTCAATTTTGGGCCGATTTTCATGAAATTCAAACTCAGTCGTCCTTAGGGTGTAACGGTGATATAATAATAATTTTTTTTAAATCGGATAAAAATTATGACCTCAATAGGGTCAAGCTAAAAACGCGATTTTTCGTACAATCAGGAGCCATAATTCAGGAAATTACGGTCCGATATGCGCGAATATCGAAAGGAACCGAGATCTTTGGGTTATAGACTCACATTTCAAGTTTCAACAAAATCGGATAAAAATTGTGACCTCTATAGGGTCCAGAACCTTGATATACCATTTTCTTACGCTATTTGAGAACGAACGGCGGCCATTTTGTCTGTCAATTTTGGGCCGATTTTCACGAAATTCGAACTCAGTCATCCTTAGGGTGTAACGGTGATATAATAGAACGGTTTTTTAAATCGGATAAAAATTATGACTTCTATAGGGTCCACAAGCTAAAAACGTGATTTTTCGTACAATCAGGGGCCATAATACGGTCCGATATGCACGAATATCGAAAGGAACCGAGATCTTTGGGTTATAAACTTACATTTCAAGTTTCAACAAAATCGGATAAAAATTGTGACCCCTATAGGGTCCAAAACCTTGATATACCATATTCTTACGCTATTTGGGAACGAACGGTGGCCATTTTGTCTGTCAATTTTGGGCCGATCTTCACGAAATTCGAACTCAGTCATCCTTAGGGTGTAACGGTGATATAATAGAACGTTTTTTTAAATCGGATAAAAATTATGACTTCTATAGGGTCCACAAGCTAAAAACGTGATTTTTCGTACAATCAGGGGCCATAATTCAGGAAGTTACGTTCCGATATGCACGAATATCGAAAGAAACCGAGATCTTTGGGTTATAAACTTACATTTCAAGTTTCAACAAAATCGGATAAAAATTGTGACCCCTATAGGGTCCACAACCTTGATATACCATATTCTTACGCTATTTGGGAACGAACGGCGGCCATTTTGTCTGTCAATTTTGGGCCAATTTTCACGAAATTCGAACTCACTCATCCTTAGGGTGTAACGGTGATATAATAGAACGGTTTTTTAAATCGGATAAAAATTATGACTTCTATAGGGTCCACAAGCTAAAAACGTGATTTTTCGTACAATCAGGGGCCATAATTCAGAAAGTTACTGTCCGATATGCGCAAATATCGAAAAGAACTGAGATCTTTGGGTTATAAACTTACATTTCAAGTTTCAACAAAATCGGATAAAAATTGTGACCTCTATAGGGTCCACAAGCTAAAAACGTGATTTTTCGTACAAACAGGGGCCATAATCCATGAAGTTTCGATCCGATACATGCCAATATCGAAAGCAGCCGAGATCTTTTGAGGATAAACCTATATTTCAAGTTTTGTCGAAATCAGATAAGAATTGTGACCTGTCCGGATCGACGGCATAATACGTCGACATGAAAATGTGGGCGTATAAAAACATAAACCCCATTCAAAATATGATCATAAATCCGACAATATGCCATCAAAATAGAATCTTTTCTCCCGACATCAGACGTATTAGATTGGCACGTTTACACCTCTTAATTCCACGTGTGTTGCGAGATTTCTACTTTCATTTTGCGTGTGTGTGAAACAGCTTTATTTAACTTTGGCTTCCACTGAAGAAATATCACAGACAAGTTATCGGACACAATGTATATTGATTTGGGGTGTTATATATACTATTAGGATATGTGTAATATATGACTAATGTCTACGGCGACATCAAGGAGATTAAAATGTGAGACAATGGAGAAATCACGGGTTTATCATGTAGATTAAGTTTATTGGATTGATAGTCTGACAAAGGAGAAGCAATGACTTCTGTTCAGGATTGAATTGATGAATTCTCCGACAAAGAATTAAGTCAGCCAATCAAGGCAGATAAAGTAGTTAACAGGCCTCGAAATGTTAACAGGTCGCTTCAGTACATAACCTGTCACTCTCAATTATCAAACTGAAAGACTACTAATCACATCACACATATCCATACATGTAGGTACACACACACGTGGTTAGGTCTTTGACGTACATTGCTCTATATAAATATCGTAATATGAAACCTTTTTATTTCTTGGACATCGGAATGCCTAAAAGTTCTTGAAAGTCGGCAAATCTGCTTTGGCTCAGCGACTCGAAGATTCGTACAATTCTATCATCCGTATCAACGTGAATTCCGCAAAGTATCATGGTACCACACTTCCGTACTAAATCGAATACTTCACCGTTGAGTTGTAGAATTCAGATTTTAAAATATCCGTAATAAATTGAATATCAAAACACAAATCACACCTGTGCATGGCACCGTATTTACATGTACCGCGTGCGAAGGACAGATAACGCCACCTGGAATTCCCTTCTCACATATCCGGACTATATTTACGCTACAAATTATATTTATATATATGAAATATTTTTCCGACCTGATTTTTTGATTTTGTCAAATTGTCTTATAAATTAAAAATAGCCTTTATTTATGGAAAATTGTTTAAAACTTTTTAAATGATTAAATACACCAAGCAACGAGCCGTGTTCATTTCCATTCCAACCACTACTATATTTACTGTGGTGTCGTTACGGTAGAATTATTTCAGGTGACTTGGGGGTGCGTTTTAATTTATTCAGATATAATACTCCATAATGCTATAAACTAGTGTCAAGCAGATGAAAACAAGCGTAGATGGTGTGAAATTCATTGATATAAAATTGTTTACTTCCAAACTGTGTGAGTAACTGTAGCCTACGACAGAGCGAAATGTAAACAGTGCAAATGAGGGCTTTTCGCGGAATTTCCGTGCTTAATTCTTGCATTTAGAAACGAATAATTAAATGTACATGACGTGGACGTGAGTATTGTGGTCAATTTACTGAATATCAAGTAAAATTTAGTCCACCTGTCGCAAGCGACAGGTAGTTTTATTTGCCACCTGTCAGACGAAAAAATCGCCCGTCGGCAACAAGTAGACAGGCGAACATTTCGAGCCATGAGTTAATCAAGGTAGGTGTATAGACGGTATAAAATGCTAAATACATTGATCACTTAATTACCTAATCAATCCAGCCTATTATCAACAATAATCAGGTTGAGTGGTAGTTATACACTCAGTACACTACATTAATTTTGGAATTTTGAATATTATTTACCATGTCTTGATGTCCAATTCGGCATATTCCTGGTCAGACAATTTCAAGTTTCATCAAAATCGGGTGAAAATTGTGACCTCTAGAGAGTCCACAACATTGATCTACCATATTTTTACACTATTAGCATACAAAGAGCGGCCATTTTGTCCAGCAGTTTTGGTCTGATTTTCACGACATTCGAACTCAACGAAGATTAGGGCGTAATAGTGATATATTCAACTCTAGAGGGACCACAAGCTTAAAACGTGATTTTTCATAAGATCAATGGCCATAATTCAGGAAGTTACGATCCGATATCTGCGAATATCGAAAGGAACCAAGATCTTTGTGATATAAGCATCAATTTAAGATTGCATCAAAATCGGAAAAAAAATTTGGCCTCTAGAGGGTCTATAACTATGATATACCACATATTCACACCATTTGCGTTATACGAGGGGCGGCCATTTTCACACAGTTTTTTTAAATCGGATAATAATTGTGACCTCTAGAGGGACCACAAGCTTAAAACACGATTTTTTGTACAGTCAAGGGCCATAATTCAGGAAGTTACGATCGAAAGGAAATGAAATGAAATGGGGTTTAACGTCCTACTGTTCTGTTCCTATGCTAGGCTAATGAAGATGGGCATACGCCATACAGTGTGCCATGAGGAAAATTTTTGCCCGGGCAGCGGCACTATCGCCTTCTCTTATATCGAATTCCAACTGCCAAGGGATCTTTTACGTGCATTCTAATGTATGGACGGGACCTCGGTTTTTCGTCTCATCCGAAGGACTAGACAGCTGTCCTTGTCAGGCCCTCCGTCCTGCATCACTGACAAGGGGGAACCACGCCGGAAAATATGGATTAACTTTCTCGGCCAATGCAGTATATCGAAAGGAACCAAGATCTTTGGGTATTTCAAGTTTTATCAAAATCGGATCAAAATTGTGAGCTCTAGAGGGTCCACAACCTTGATATACCATATTTTTACACTGTTTGCATTTGAGGGGCGGCCATTTTGTCTGATTTTCACGAAATTCGAACTCAACCATCATTTAAAGTGTAACGGTGATATATTCAAACGTTTTTTAAATCAGAATAAAATTGTGACCTCCATACTTTGCGTACAATCAGGGGTCATAATTCAGGATAAAACATTGCTAAAATAAAACCTACCTGGGACACTTGTTCCCAAAGCCACAAATGAAATAGCTGTCACAGCATCTTTCAAACCAACAGTACAGCCAAAACCAGATGCTAGATCACCAATGAAGGCTGTTAATAATCCAATTACTGATATAGACACAATAAAACATGCCCAGCCACCCCAATAGTCTGAAATTAGAAAAATAAAGCTCTGTTCATTCTTCGTGTTCATATTATAACTACATATGATCAGAGACCTGACTACAATTCAAGAATCTTGATAGAATAAATGAAGACAATGCTCACAGTTTAATTAGGATGGGTCATTCCATTTATTAGGAGTCCAAGTGACATTTCAGCTGCTTATAACTTAAAAGGTTTCATTGATCATTTATTAATAGAAAAAAAATGTCTGCTTATTACGGAGGCCCATTAGAGCCAAACAAACAAAAAAATATTAATCGGTTTGAACGAGTTAGTATCTCGTTTGAACGAGTTAATGATCTCATTTGAACGAATTAGTATCTCTTTTGAACAAATTAGTATCTCGTTTGAAGGAATTAATTATCTCGTTTGAATGAATTAATTATCATGATTGAATGAATTAATTATCTCGTTTAAACGAGTTAGTATCTCGTTTGAACGAATTAATTATATCGTTTGAACGAATTAATTATCTCGTTTGAACGAATTAATTATCTCGTTTGGATGAATTAATTATCTCGTTTGAACGAATTAAGATTTCGATTGTACAGAAGCGTGTAAGGGAAATACAGAAATTGTGATCATAACAGGTGATTTTTAGTAAAGAAGTTCTTTACTATTTCTAGCGTTACCGTCAGTAGAAGGAACTACATTTATGAGAAGGAGAATTAGTATAGAATATGTTGGAAGTTATCCACGTTTTAAAAGCCGAATATGTTTAATGTTAGCCTGAATTAGGCACAACATTGTAGTGAAGTCATTGTTTTATGACATGTATATGTTTAAACAGCATTTTGCAAGAGCTAAATCTGCCTATTACAGGTCTTTCTGTAGGCCTTAAATGTTATATAAACCATTCATTAGACATTTATTAACATTTTTAAGTAGATTAGAACGGTTCGGCCATAGAGAACTTAGGGGAGAAGAAACAACTAATTTGCGACGTCTAATTTAATGGTGCGAGTCTTGTTAGAAAAGTCTGTAGTCCTCGGATGACACGAAAAACCTGTGGAATACAGCAGCAGTATGCAAAACGAAGCAAGCGTAGTAATCGTGCCGAAACATTGCCCACATTGCATGTCTCACCCCTCCACTAGGGTCCCGTGTGGCAAAGCGACGCTGCTGTTGGTTTACTTGCTCCAGAGAACCGGGGACGTGAAACCGAGAGCCACAGAGGGGAACGATGGCTCCAGGTGAACCAAAAGGGAAAGGTCTCTGTGTTGGCTTTTGCTGGTAATCAAGTGTAGGGTGGTTAGAACAGCCGTTCCTCGCTTGAGCCAGCGTTCTCCTATGCAACCCCCGGCTTAAGTCATCGGTCCTATCGAGGAAGTCGGCCACTGACAGCGTCGCTTCTCCGCAAGGTTCCCTCGCGGGAGGGATGCGACGTGCAATAAGATAAATTTTGCGGCACTAATACTCCTGCTTCGTTTTGCATGCGAAAATTAGTTATTTCTTTTAACACTCCCACCCCACCCCTGTATCTTAGAAACTCACCCAAATCCTCTCCCAAGGCAATCAACACTGGAAATAATAACATTAATCCTCTTAATATGTAAACATCGCTGACAAGCAATCGTATACCTGTGGAGCTGTTCACTGAGCTAGTGAAAATTCAGCTAAGGCACATCTACCATTTTATTTCTTAATTGGGTGCATTTCACGTCCTTAATATATCACGTTTATACCTGTCGTATTGCTGTTTAAGCATATATACATGTCATAAACAATGACTTCACTACAATGTTGTGGCTAACATTAAACAAAATGGATTATTTCCACGGTATTCTATACTAATTCCCCTTTTCACAAGTGTAGTTCCTTCTACTGGCGCTAACGCCAGAAATAATAAAGAACCTACGCGCATTAAATCATGTTATCTTTATTTGAAACACAATTTCTGCATGTCCCTTCCATGCTTCTGTAGGCTACAACCGAAATATTAATTTGTTCAAACGAGATACTAACTCGTTCAAATGAAATAATTAATTCGTTCAAACGGGATACTAATTCGTTCAAACGAGATAATTAATTCATGCAAACGAGATACTAACTCACTTAAACGAGATAATTAATTTGTTCAAACGAGATACTAATTTGTTCAAACCAGATACTAATTCGTTCAAATGAGATACTAATTCGTTCAAACGAGATAATTAATTCGTTCAAACGAGATACTAATTCGTTCAAACCAGATACTAATTCGTTCAAACGGATTAATATTTTTTTTTTGTTTGGCACTAATGGGCCTTCGTACTAATGTAATGCCAGAAATAATAAAGAACCTACGCGCATTAAATCATGTTATCTTTATTTGAAACACAATTTCTGCATGTCCCTTCCATGCTTCTGTAGGCTACAACCGAAATATTAATTTGTTCAAACGAGATACTAATGCGTTCAAACGAAATAATTAATTCGTTCAAACGGGATACTAATTCGTTCAAACGAGATAATAAATTCATGCAAACGAGATACTAACTCATTAAAACGAGATAATTAATTCGTTCAAACGAGATAATTAATTCGTTCAAACGAGATACTAATTCGTTCAAACCAGATACTAATTCGTTCAAACGGATTAATATTTTTTTTTTGTTTGGCACTAATGGGCCTTCGTACTAATGTATCCATGTAATGTTTCAAAATAAAAAAAAATTATTTTGGGGAGTCGAACGATAAATCAAAAAATCAAAATATATGTGGTGACCCTTGAAACAAAAGTTAAATTATTGGACATTTTGCAGTTGTGTTTTTTAAAAGTTAAAAATTTTTTGAACATATCTTTAAATACCGGTAACTAAAAGTATACTCCTTCTTAAAAAAAACAGCGGCTGCCAGGCAGGATACGACCACATTTTGCAAGTGATGGATAGAGGGACCATAACATTGATATACCATATTTTTTATGCTATTTGAGTATGAGGGGCCGGCCATAATGTCTGTCAGTTTTGGTCAGATTTTATCCAAATTTGGACTCAACTATCATTAGGGTGTTACAGGTCCACAAGCTAAAAATGCGATTTTCGTACAATCAGGGGGCATAATTCGGGAAGTTGCAGTCTGATATGCGTGAATATCGAAAGGAATTGAGATCTCTGGTCTGGGTTATAAATTTACATTTCAAATTTTAAAAAAAATCAGATAAGAATTGTGACCTCAATAGGGTTCACAAGCTAAAAACGTGATTTATCATACAATCAGGGCCATAATCCATGAATTTACGGTCCGATAATGCCAATATCGAAAGTTTCAGCTAAATCGGATAAAAATTGTGACCTCTATTGGGCCCAGAAGCTAAAAACCTGATTTTTCGTACAATCAGGCTTGAATCTCAAAAATACATATTTTAATCATGTATTTGTACAGAATATCTCCAAAACACATTTGATTAAATCAGTGTTCTAAACCGAACTAAATACATCAAAAAAGAGGATGCCTGAGCAGTTGATTCACATAAAAACTGCACTTTCTCCATGTTTTTTTGGCATTGGCGAATCTACTCGTTTTTCGATATTCAAAATTAAATCTCAAAAAAGCAGATTTGATGGATGTATATCTACAGAATGTCTTGAAAACACATAAATTAATTAAATCAGTTTTGTAAAACAAACTAAAGATATCATAAATGAGGATGCCTGAGCAGTGGATTCACATAAAAAAAGCTCTTTCTCCTTGCTTTTGATATTGGCGAATGTCGAAAAACAAGCTACTCGTTTTTCGATATAATTCAGGCTTGAATCTCAAAAATACAGATTTTAATCATGTAGATCTCTACAGAATGTTTCCAAAACACATTTGATTAAATCAGTGTTCTAAACCGAACTAAATAAATCGTAAAAGCGGATGCCTGAGCAGTGGATTCACATAAAAACTGCTCTTTATATTGGCAAATCTCGAAAAACGAGTATTCAGACTTGAATCTCAAAAATACAGATTTTAATCATGTATATCTACAGACTGTTTCCAAAACACATTTGATTATGTAAGTATTCTAAAACGAACTAAAGATATCATAAATGAGGATGCATGAGCAGTGAATTCACATACAAAAGCTTTTTCTCCTTGTTTTTTTATATTGGCGAATTTCGATATTCAAACTTGAATCTCAAAAAAGCAGATTTAATGGATGTATATCTACAGAATGTACCCAAATACGTTTTCTAAAAAGAATTAAAAATATCATAAAAGAGGATACCTGAGCTGTGGATTCACATAAAAAAAGCCCTTTCTCCTTGTTTTTTTGATATTGGCGAATGTCGAAAGAGCTACTCTTTGTTCGATATTCAAACTTGAATCTCAAAAAAGCCGATTTGATGGATGTATATCTATAGAATGTCTCCAAAACACATTTGATTAAATCAGTTTTCTAAATCGAACTAAATATATCGTAAAAGAGGATGCCCGAGCAGTGGAATCACATAAAACTGATCATTCTCCCTTGTTTTTTTGATATTGATGAATCTCGAAAAACAAGCTAACTACTTTAGTGTTCATTTTAGAATACTTATTTAAGGATACATTATGGGAGATTAGATAAAGAGCTGGCAGTTCTCGCTATAATAGTTAAAAACTAGATAATGTAAAGGTAATTTGTTGAAAATTTTAGTCAAATTGATCCACTATGAAACGAGATATCAGCTTTGGAAATTTCCGCCCAGCCTCGTTCATTATTACTAAAGTTAAAAAGCATAGTCTCGATTATCCATTGTTTTGATTTAATTATCAATGAGCGTTAAGCAGCATATAGGATTCTAATCCAGTCGATATCGAAGTCTAGACTTGACATCGAGAGTTGATTATGGTCTGGATAAGTTAATTAATGTCTAATTAATAATTTAGATAACATTTCAGGTCTAAAGAAAGACCTGCAATAGGCAGATTTAGCTCTTGCATAATGTATGTTTAATCAACTATGTTTTGGAGACATTCTATATATACATCCATCAAATCTGCTTTTATGAGATTCAAGCCTGAATATCGAAAAA